TACCTCAAATAAATTTTATGTATCTTCACCACTAGTTAAACTTTTAGAATTACTAACGTCTACACTATAATCACTGCACATGCCCTTGCAACGCACTGAGTACTGAACTTGACGCCTCCAGAACAAAGTAGCGCCGCGGACCCAAACTCTGGCCATCATTACCAAAGTTGAACTCTGAAATATTATTTTGATCAGATTTCATATTGCTCCTGATTCCTCCAAAGGTACGACATTAGGCTCATCGTACTATCTTCAAATAAAAAAATTCTGGAGAAGAAACAGCAACTTTGTGTAAAATTTAACATCATCTTAAAGTACACACTTAAATGAAAGTACAGAGGCATAACGCGAAAAATAGGCCTATCTTTCATATCATAGTCACAATTTCTGTTTTTCAAAATATGTATCATTATTCATTAAAAAAGAGAAAGTAGCTTCTAGCCAGTTACCGATTTATTTAAACAATTTTTTCATTTGTCTACTGTAGTGTAAACAACAAGCTAGCTTGGCACCTTCAAAGAAATCGTACGTAGAAGCGGAAATTGGCGAAAAATGTACTTGAAAATAGGGGCGAGGTATCGATATCTTAGTATATAAAATTGCCTTTTGATATACAAATCTAGCATAAGAACACGGACAAAGAACATACGAAATCATGTACACTCTTTTCTGCAATGTGTCAAAAGAATTAAGAAATATGAGGTTTTATAACATTTCAGAAACAACACGCTTTATGAAATAAACTTGCAATAAACATTTTACTAATCGTTGAAATTGTGTAAGAGTACATTAATACTCAAAGCACCGAGAATCACCAGTAGGAAAAAGTTACTTTTTTAACAGCACGATAAAAGCCTAAAATAGATTGTTTGCTGATAGGGTCTAAACATTTTCTAACTGTACGCAGTTTTAGAAATAAGTTTGAAGTACTTTAGTAATAACGGAAGAAGTAATTACGAAAATTTAAAATACGTTAAATTGAAACTAAGTAATTTAAAATGTGGTGAGTAGTAAAGTACGGTCTTGTGAAGTGCAGGCAAGTGGAAAACCGGGTTTTAGGTTTGTAAATATAGTCCACACATATACGAAGTGCTGTTAAACTCTATTAGTCGTAGTATTAGTAGTTGAAACTGATTATTATACGTAATAAAATAACATTATTAATATTTTAATATCGACAATTATTGTAACTCGCTTTATACTCAATTGCAATTAAAATAATCTAAAAGTTAAAATTATTTTTCAAAATTACATTTGTACATTTTTGCAATTAGTGTTCATTGACTGAATAATAGAACGCACCAATTCAAAGATCGTTTAACATTATATATTATTCGTCCCTCACTTCACATGCTCATGAATATGCATACAATATGCATGATCACAGTGCCTATCAGAAGTGTGCATTTTTATGAGTTTCATTTGACGTGATGGGTGTCCGATGAGCGTTCACGCCTTGCGTTTGATTGGTGTGGTTTTGAAAGTTATTTTGAGAGATTTTACATTCAGCAGTTTGCAACGGACGTGATTGGGATATATTTACTCCATGCGTGATGGATACAGTATTACTTCCGTATCTTTAAAGTAAAAACCAAGCAAACAATTCAAAATATATAAGGTAATGAAATATATTTTTTTATAAACTGCTTTCATTCTATATATTTATCAAGATATACAAGGTGATAAACGATGTATGGTAATTAGAATTCACTCAAACTAACAGAAAAAAGCTTAAATACCTACATTGAAATGGACGAATTAATTGCTGATTAAATAATACACCCACCATTTAACATGATGTGAGGGGAAAATCTTTTATTGTGTACCTTCCAAATATGTACTCATAGGCGACGAAAAATCTGCCAGGATAATAAACGGTCTGTGTATATTTACATTAGTAATTTTCAATGAGAGCAGAACTTGAAAGTTACTTATATATTCCGCCACCGGCCAAAATTGTACGGCCAAGTTAGGTCTCTCTCTGGTTTCATTAGATACACAGGAACTCGAAAAAAATCCAAAAACAATCCAAAGGGTAAGATTCGATTCAAATTATTTTAGAAATTAGATGTAAAACGTTGGAGACAATATTGTATACGGAATGTCTCTTACGGAACTAATGATCTTCGCTGTTGAAGCGCACGAAATTACTAACAAGCAATCAATTAATTAATTAATTTCGTTAATTTATTGCTACCCTAAAGAGATCACTAAATAATGGTGATATGATTACTCACGGCGAAAGTAGATGATGCCCTCGTGGAAGTTCGTAGCTGAATGTTACAATACAAATCGATCGCTTGCGCATATCGTAAATGCCATGGATTTATCGTATAATTTAGTAAATAGTTTTCTAAGAATTTTTGCTTTTATTTCTACACGATATTCGTATATCGTGATGTCTCCAAAAAAGATCAACTCTTATATGGATGTGCCTGTGTTAGGGATTTCCAAGAAGTGATTCATCTATGAACGAATTTTTATAGAATGAATAAAAAATTAGTAGTAAAAATTAGTGTACTGAATGTTTCTTATAGTTTATTCTACTACTGCTTGTGAATTAAAAATAAACTATTATTATTTGTAGCGTCTATTAGCATATAGTAATTTAATAATTAAGCAATATTATTGCCGGTTCACTACTCATTAACATGAGTATAAAATTTGTTCCTCCAGTATTAAAATGATGCTCAGAACAGATTTTCTGTCGTATGTGACGTTTAATGACGTTGAACTTTTAACCGTTTTTTTTGTTTTTTGCCTTTCTGTTCCACGTTCCTTTTCTTTGGAGAAGTTTTTCGAAGTAAGTAAGCCCTTGAGTAAGTTGCAGGTTCCTGTTTCTCATACCAATCCGGATATATTGTTATACCTCGCTACACTCACTCCGTTTGCTCACCTTTTTCCCCCTTGAATACGTTTTCTTGCTCTTTTTCGACCTTACTCAGAATAAAGAGAAAGCACCCATTAATGATGGAGAAGAATAATGACCTCTGAAAAAAGCCGCTGCCTGGGGGAGGTCTGGGCGTGCCTGAAGCTGGTACCGGGCGCAGCAACTTTATGGCCTAGCACTCAACAACAACGGTGACAGACGTCAGTACCTCGATTGCTCCAGTGAATTTAATTGCTACAATGTGAAAAGTGTCAGGAAAAGCGGTTGTGTTAAATTGATAAGGGATTGTTCCGTAATTAAATCGTTCCAGAATATTAATAATACAATGGAAATGAATCTTTCGAAATTGGACGTATTATCTGGAAAATTATTTCAACGAAATAACTGAAGAAGACAGGATTCATCAAGAATACTGGAATGATATATAGCCTTCACTAGATTACTAGTTACAATACATTTTGTATAATTGAAATTGCTTAGAGTTACAAATGGTGTTAGAAAAGCTCGTACTGTTCGGCTCTTGCAACAAATCATTTGCATATATTTTTTTGGCGAAGTTCTTTCATTGCCGTTTTATTTCTTATTGACATTTTGATAATAATCTGTAAATTTAGTTCACTACGCCTAGGTGATTTGTTAAGTTCTTGGAACGAAAACAACAATATATTGAATACTTTTTTTGCTTTATTTCACGACTAAAAGGAAATGTTAAATCACCATTTTAGGACAATTGGTCTCAATTCCTTTAGTGTAACATCAACTCACATTATTCTGTTTATAAAAATAATCTGAAAATGTGTCGTCGTGATATTTGAAAATGCCATATAAATTTAAAAAAACTGTTTTTAAACATAACCTCCACAGTGTGAATCCCAAAAGAAATAATATTGAAATGTGTTGTGATGCATCAGAATTGGAGAATTTTTAAAACATCCGTGAACAACACAAGCGTGAAATCAATTATACATGCATTCTAGTTAAACATTTAAATGTTAAGGCAACGGAATTGAAAGTAATAATTATATTAATATAACTACAGTCATGCCCACATGTATGTGTGTACATGGTTTAGAGTGTTGCATATTTCTCGTGAAAACCGAGGCCAGAGAAACGAGTCAGCACCAACAAGGTTGCATCAGTATTAATTACTCGTATTTATTATTTAACGATTTGTTCATATTGCAATGAATTCTCACCCGATCATAAACATTATATAAAACCTAACAAAAACAATTAAAATTAAATTAAATCACAACTCTGAAAGCGACATGGAGTCAGAATTTAATGAATATATTTGATTTGATTTGAATATACTGGATATATTTCAAACAGTTTACTGCGCACTAGATGAGTGGAATAAAGAAAGCTGCGGAGCAATATTAATTTACATTATTTTCTTTACAAGGAAATTACTGTGTGAGAGAAAGTAATGCTTCATGAGGTAAAAGAGTTCAAATACCTGATATCAGCTTTACATTGAGAAAATACTAATTCATTACGCTTGAAAAGCATTTTATAAACCGTATTGTGATCTTTACACGAGCGTCTAGCACAGAAGTCAAGCGGCAAATCTGATGTTTTACCATTGCTGCCATATTCCAAAAATAGAACGAATGTCCTTTTAGCATTCTGCATATAGTGCTAATATTTGTGCTGTAAAGCTTCACGTTAATTTTATTTACATCATAAATGTTAATATTATTTCATAATCCAAAATGTAACTCGAGTCTCCGAAACAACAAAACGGGTTATATTATTCACTAAACATCTTAAAATTCAATTCGTATTTCCGAATTTCAAAACTCCTTTTATTTGCTTTGCTGCGTACTTACACTGGCTTTTTGAATGCATCGATTTTTTGGAATTGCAGTATTTATTTCTGACTCTGTTTACAATGCTGGAACAACAAAACAAGAAGAAACAACGACGTACAAATAATTGGTGACACTGAAGCTTTTTTATGTACATTGTATTCCGGTCGTTAACTGTCCGTGTGAAACACGAGCAGGCAACTTAACACGTGAACTTTTTTAACGGTCGTTCCTACCATTCTGTATTCCTAACCGTCCCTTTAGTATGAATAATCACCGTCGCCGTGATTTTTGCAGGCCCCCTTGAGGCCTTCTCGAGTGGGCTCGCAGCGCTGCGGGGGCGGCAGCGCGAGGGTGGAGGCGAAGGTGACGACTGTGGAGATGGTGGTGGCGAGAGTAAGTGCTCGGAGGTAGTGACACGGGGATGCACAGTGTCAAATTTCCCTTATACAATGAGAAAATATATGTCTGTGGCTAGCTGACGTCTTTTTTCTTCTTGTGTTTGCCTAAAGGAGACTTGATGGCCAAGAACGGATAGGTAAGAATTCCAGTAACTTTTACTTTTAAGTCTTCGGCAAAAAAATCATTAAATGATCAATTAAGATGAGAATAAGATTTGGGATAGTTTATTATGGAGACAATAATAAGATGTCTACAACAATTCAATTCATTACCACTGTGTGGAAGAGTGTGTGAAAATTAAAGTTACGGATCTTCAAATCAAAGCAAAGAGATTTGTAAGCATTCACACACATTTTAAGAATAGTGTGTAAACCTTTGTTTAAAAACTGAGAAAAAAGTGTTCTAAAATCTTTCTAGACAAATTGAAATTGCTTCATTTTTGTAATATTAAATGATTTATCTTTCTTCAGAAACACCTAGGGACAAATATTTTTTTTTTTATAGAAGACGGAATAACATCCAGACATTTGCTCGATAGCTTTTGGTTATTTTAGTTTTTCTACAAGATTATGAAATGAATAAAACTTCCATTATGGAGATTCAAAAAGCGTGAGGAAATGGCGTTTGGTCCGTGTAGTTGGAAATTCGCCCTGGTGGGCGGCGGCGCGGGCGGTGTGGGGCCAGAGCGATCAGTCCAGCTCTTGGCCGGCGCAAGCGGCTCGCCGTGACCCCTTGCTGCGGGCGGCGCGCAGCCCGCCTGGAATACGGATCACGCGCGCGGCCCCTCTCGCCCCCCCGGCCCGCGCCCTTTCACCCCCACGTGCGGCCCTTCGGCGGCGCCCCACCCGCGCCACACCGATGCCCCGCCCCGCGCCCTGCCCTGCGCCCGCTGCGCTCCGCCAGCGCGCCGCCCGCCCCCGCGCCGCCCCGTGCCGCCTCCGGGCCCGCTCCGACGCAGCCCCTTGCTGCCACTCTCCACTGCTGTGGTCCGGAACTGGGCCATCCCCCGTCCGCCGGCATGCCGCGGCCGGTCCACTGCCGCTGGCCCACCGGCTGCCGGCCCCCTCCGGACCCCACCTCACCCCACTCCTCCCAGGGACCAGCTCCCGCCGGCGCGCTGCTTCTCTTCTGGCTTCCCGCGCCCCCGCAGCGCCCGCCCGCCCTCCCGCCCCACCCCGCTTCGCGCGCCGCTTTCTGTTCTCACCGGAACTCGCTGCCTGCCACGCCCCTTCTCCGCGCAGCGCCCGAGCGCCTGCAGCGTTCCACCTTCGCTCTCGCCGTTCCCGCCCACCGTCATCTTCCGTCGCTCTGAATCTCCTCTCTCCCTCTGAACACCTCCCTGCTCCGATTTCCCCACCCATCCGCGCGTGCTCTGTCTCTCCGGATTGCCTATTACTTGGCGGCATATCCCCACCTCTGCCTATCGTCCCCTCCCATCCATTTTTGGCCCCCACCCCCACCCCGCTCTTATGTCCGTTTTGCACGCGTTACTAACGTTCAGCTCTTGTCATTTGTACTAGCAGTTCTCCCCTCCGTCACATAACTTAGTCAGCCGACTCCCACGGACTTAAGCCTTCAATCCAGCTCCCGCTCTTGCACGCACTGTCCGCGTGCCAGTCATCGCGCTTCCTCCCACGCCCCACGCCGACTGGCAGCTGCCAACCTCGTTTGCCTCCGCCACCCCTGGCCTTTTGCCGTACTCATCTTAATTTGTCCCCATGCGGCCGCCCCCTCCCCCGCCCCCGCGTTCCGCCCGCCCCGCCGGCCCTTTAGCGTCGAGGCGCCCCCTCCGCCGCGTCTGGGACGCCGCCTTTGCCTCTGTCGCTTCCCGCGTGCGCCTGTTTCTCCCGGTTCTCGCCTCTGCCACCGCGCGGCCGCCCGCTCCCTCTCCACCCCGCTGCGGGCGACGCGCATCCGTCTCCCTTTGATCGGCTGCCCCTCTCCCCCTGTATTTTCGATTCCGTTCGACCCACCCCCGCCCTGCTTCCCGCCGCCGCCGGCTCGCACAGCGCCGTGGCTCACCCTCCCCGTGTGGGCCCCGAGCACCAGCTCCGCCCCCCCCCGGCCCCCGCGGAGTTTACCGCCTCCACTACCTCCCACCCATCTGAACTTTTGGTGCTTCCCCCCTTCACTCCTCTCCTTTCACCGGGAACACTCGCTTCCTCTCTTGGTCCCTTCCCCACCTCTACTCCCGTCCCCGGGCGCCTCCTTCGGACGTCCGCCTGCGGCAACCCTTGCCCTTCCCCAGCGTGCTTCTCCCCGCGCCCTCCCCCGCACCTCCGAATCTTCAAGCTCGGCCGGATAAAACGCCGCGACGGATGGAGCCATATTAATTCGAACCGAGATCGCCGAAACCGTTTTACCTGGCGCCGCCGTTTCGACCACCCCTTCTCCCAAGGCAGCGAAGCCAGGATTAGGTTAAGGACATTTTGCGATTATCATCACGCTCCCCTAACCCCCCCTTTTACGCGGTTCGCCGCCTCGGCACCTTCTCGGAGCGTCCTGTTTCGATCGGGAGGGCCGCAGTTCGGAATCGCCTGCTGATCGGTGTCGCTTTCTTTTTGCAAAGCCACTTAGGACGGTGCAAACGCGGCTGCGGGCGTAATTGAATTTTGAACGGGCGATGAGAAAATTTTTTTGCTGGCGACGTTGAGGAGCGAGGGCGTGCGCTCGTCCGGTAGCAGGGCGCGCGGGGCGGCGCGAGTCGCCTGCGAAACTCTTCGCGAAGTTACAGTGCACTCGCTGCCGGTCTTCAAACTTCCCCTTTAGCTGACCCCGGCCCGCGCCGCAGGCGTCCGGGCAGAACGTTTACATTCCAAGCGCCACGGCCAACTCGACGTAGTTCGGAGTCTTGGGGTTGCCGCGACGGGCGCCGCGCATCTGCCCACCCCACCCCGCTCTTCCCCTTCCCCCTCCCCGCCTCTCCACCATTCGCAGTCGTGGACTGCGGTTTTCCGCTTTTGCATGAGAAACCGCACGTGGATTTTTTCGGCGCTCCTTATTTAGCCGGGAAAAACAACTGGGAAAAACGAACGCCTCGTTCGGCGCCAGCTAATTTCTGCTTTCCATTTCCTTTGTTTTGCCGTTCTCAACCTCGCCTGCAGAAAGGAACAAACGCATCTGTTTAAGTCGGAAGGTGTATTTTAATTGTCTGTTGTTAAACTTCTCGCGCCCTGCAAATACTCTATTCAGCGCGATATTCTCAAAGTGTGATTAAGTCTTCATTTAAATTACCCTTAATTTGCTTTGACGTGGGACGTAAATCGGATTGAGTTCATTAATTTTCATTAGCTCTCATATATAATTTGGGAAAAATCCATGCGGAGATTATACTCTGATTCCTCTAGAGAAAGCAAAGGTTCCATAAACGGTCTTTATGAAAGATTTTCAGAAAGTATCATTTTAAAACGGGCACAAAATGCGCGAGTTTCCTTCTTTGATATTTGAGATTATGCGTAGTGGTTCACTTAACTGTCTTAAATAAGTCATAAATTATTCAGTATATTCAAATACTTTTTCGCCGCTGTGAACTTACATAAGAAACTCCAAAAGCAGCATGTTTTACGCACTCGGGAGTTTGCGTGGTTTCGTGTATAAATAGCTGTCACTTTTTTAGTAGAATGCTGGACAACTTCAAGTAAGTTAAAAATAGAGACCTATATGCTTTGTTTGAAATTCTTTCCTTTATTTATGCGTATTACCAGGTTCAACAAATCAAAAATATTTCACTTAAATGTATTGAAATTATTGAAAATAAAATGATTTACTTTTGAAGATCTTTGAGAAAAGAAACTGTTCCACTTAGTCATTTAAATTATTGTTCAACCTTGAAAATGTAATAGGTTATTCAAACTATAGTTTGCTTTTAGGTCGAAGGTTCCTGTAATTACAGTAAAAGCAAATAGGAGGACGGGGACGTGAACAGACGGGAAGGGGTGGATGAAATATGAATTTTGTGTAAACATTTGTGTGATAGTTATTGTATTATGCACTCCAAATTATATATGAATGCTAAAATTAATAAATAAGGTATTGTGTGAATAATCTGAAACATTGTTTTAACAATTGTATGCAATTTCAATTTTTAATAAAGTCGCTTATCGCAACTCGGAGCGGTTTTGAAATGGAACGATTTCAGGAAAGGTGATAGTTTTGTTAAAAGAGGAAGGAGTACACACATTAATACAATGAGTAGAATTTCTGTCTACCAAGTGACGGATTTGATGATGATATGGCCATGGAAAGCTGCTAATATAATATACGATACGAAATATTAGTCACCAATAAACCAATAACAATACAAAAACAAAATTGGCTAACGAATTTTTTCATCGTTCGTAAAAAAAGGAAATTTGATCCAATTTGATTTCACATATTCTTGTGCAATAATATTTATATTGAGAACCAATTAGTTCACCTCCTTACATGCACTGCATGAAAGTGTTCAAAGAAGATTTTCTCAACCGTTCGTTCAATTCAATCCGGGAAGAAGACACGTGTTGAGATTTACTTTAAATTTATTCACGTATTTCTCTAGTTAATTTGTATGGGCCAAAATACAGTAGAAAACAAGGGCATGTTTGAGAGGGCAACTCATGTTTTCCAGAAAAATAGTAAGAAACAGATTATGCTCTTATTTTATGCATTACACTGGACGAATGTATCTAGAGTAATCATCCAACAAAAATACAACGGAATTATTATAATTAGACGTTTTGATGTGTCAATTCTACTAAACTAATTTCGTATATGAGAAACACCTGTATCGGTGGTGCAAGGGCTTTAAGTAGCATCAAAGTATATGGCATGTAAAGCATATAAGACAGTGTTTTCGGCATGTGATTACGACTTACTTTGCTGAATATACCACCCCGTTTTTATCTCAACCATTATTCCATCCATATTCAATTATTATTTGTCATTCACTTGTCATGATGCGCATTCCTAGCAGAGGAAAACAATAGGAAAGCAAATAATAGATTTGAGACGTTTTT